GTCTAGCATTCTCAATTTTCTAACTGGTTAAGATTTCCTATTGTTCTATTTGTTGGAGGTGAAGTCTAACTCCCTTCGTAAGTCTACACTTTTACTTTTGTGTTATTGATAAACTATGACCCATCTATTGTTTTAATTTTTAAAAAATGAGTCATTGATGAAAGTATTATGCCTTTTAGTACAAAAAATGGTTGACAGATTCCATGACATAATCAATGTTGGCAAAATATGACTGAATTAAAATGTTGACTGTATTTTAGACAATTTAATGATAAAATGTCATGAAACATTATGTCAATCTTTCTGTCAAACTTTTCTGACAGTATAGCATGATTGTTGATGAAAATATAGATTTCAATAATAACTTCTTATTTTACATTTTAAAGTCCCTTAAATCATAAATTGACCATCAACTTTACTTCAAATAAATTAATGATTTTGACCAGAGATTGGTCTTGCTAAACTTGATTACCTGATCTTAATTTTTTCACTTGGTCAAATGAAGTCTCCTAGTAGTCAAAGTTCATTTTTAATTTTAGATTTCTAATCTTTTTCATATTCCATTTAAACTATAGGGATTATTATAACACATTTTATCACGTCATGAAACCTGATTAATTAAGTCACTCTTCGATAGGGATTAAAATTTAAATTTTTATTTAAATCAAAGTAAACAATTTGATTACTCGCATGTTTTTATGAGATTCAAAACTTTTTAAGTACACATGTTTATCAAAATATATTAAAATTTTAATTATAGTCCACACCAAACACGGATAAGTTGGACTCAATATTTGATTCAATTATTATTACATGTTTAAAAAATATAGGTGAGAATTAGAATAAGATTTTTAGTAGATTTTGATAAAAATCGATGAAATATATTATTCAAAAGTTGTGAATATCATAAAATGTGTTGTTAAAATTAACTGTTAACTTTGATTTAGATAAAAATTTTAATTTTAATTTCTCCCAAACATAGACATAATGTGTGTCTTCATGTAATTGTTAATGTTATATGACAATAAATAAATAAATAAATTAGGTTATCTCCAACCCTATACAAAAATTTTTGCCAAATCTTACACTTAAAAAACTCTTCCCCAATCCATTACACCAAAAGTTGTACCAAATGAATAGTGTTTAATAACTTTCTTGATTTTTTTAACTCTTAACAATTGAAAAATTATTTATTTAGTTATTTATTTTATTATTACATAAATTATTAAATAGATAAGATGAAACTACTAGAAATGTCCACTTTTCACATATTCATTTGCAAAATGTCCAACACTGCAAATCCTTGCAAAAATGTTCATTTTGGGATGATTTAGACTAAAATATCTCTGTTAACAATTTATGATTCCACACAAAGACAAAACTTAACATTTTTGCAATTAAAAATTTTATTGGCCAACAAAATTTTGACACATAACCTGCCATATTTATTTTTAAAGTGCACATGTCAAATAACAATAAATGTTATTTTTCTCATTGACACAGAAATGTCGATAACTACATATCAAGTGTAGAGAAATGTTATGTTTAGAATGAAATGTCATTTTAGATATCTAATATGTCGATAACAACATTTGAAATGTCGTGAATATTTAATATTGTGATTTGATATGTGTACTTTTGAAATATAAATAGAGTTCAAATATCAAGAACGAAATTTGAAATGTTGAGAACATCGTTCTAATGTATTAAATTTAAAAAGTGGACATTTTTGAATTGACACCCGTGAAATTGGATATTTTTGAAAATACCCCAATGGATAATTATGTTTAGTTAACAAAAATATTGAATTCATTAATAAATTTAAAAAAAGTAGTACAATTATTAGAAATACAACAACTAAGAAAATATTAAATCATAATACTGAAAAAGAATGTAATATGTTTCAAATCGCAATATCATTATATTACAAAGTCGAAATAATATTAAAAATTAATTATTATTGACTAAATTATTAAAATTTATTACAAATGCACATAATAATAATAATAATAATAATAATAATAATAATAATAATAATAATAATAATAATAATAATAATTATTATTATTATTATTATTATTAAATAAATAAATAAATAAATAAATAATTTAGAATTAAAATTTATTTTATAATGAAAGGACAAATATGCCCTTAAAAAAATTGGTGCAAAGTGGAGGAGAAGGGTAAAAATGTATTTAATCATTTTGCAACAAAATGGTGCAATAGTTAGAGGAGATTTGCACTAAAAATTTGGTGCAATTTGGTGAATTATGTTGCAATGGGAACTGAGCTGGAGATGTTCTTAGGGTGGCGCGTGATTTTGGAAACTTGTTCATCATTTGAATGCTTAGGTGGCACGTGCTACAGGATACCAGAAGTACGAAGTGTGAACATGTGTTAACAGGATTTGATTTCCTTTTGCTTTTTTTCTTAATTTTTTTTATTACTTTCCCTATTTTCTCTCTCTTTTATTTTTAAAATGTTAATATAAACAAGAGGTATTTGCCTATTTACCCTTTGAAAAATTCATCATGCACATTGCTTGTACTTATAATACTTATTTGGACAGAGTCTGTCAATAAAGACCAAGCATATCAACTTGCTACAAAAATTAGAGGTTGAGGATGGATTTATCAAAATTTGAAGTTTCAATAACTCCTTTTCATTTTTGTAAAGATTAGGAATCTCCACTACAATTTTCTTGAAAAGAATAATCGCCCATTCCTTCCCAATACATCCTTTGCATTAGATTTTCCTCGAACCAAATTGCTACCAAAGTTAAAAGTTATAGACCCAAATGCCAAAATAATGAATGACCAAAGTGTCAATTATAATAAATAATGAAAGTTGTGGATCTAATTTTTCCTAAAATATAATTTTCTTCCACCATGCATTTTTTTGAGGCATATAGAAGTATCTTACAACACTACAAAGAAAAGAGCTCCATTGACCAAATGTTTAGCGACCAATCAAAATGGGTTGCTCTAAGACATCATCACCGACCAAAAATTAGTTGGTAAAGGTTTTGATCCTTTATAATTAGACTAATTCTTTTATACTATTTTGAGATCAATTGGTTGTCGATTTAGAGTATCAGTGATCATACATTTGATTGATTGCTAAAGTTTAGGTGGGAGAAAGAGCAATATTTCCTCGCGTTGTTTTGAATGTTTCAGTGGCCGGCAAAATTTGGTTGCTATATAGAAGACCCCATTGTATGGTCGCTATAAGTATTTTTTTCACATTGTTTTGGATGTTACAACGACTAAGGAATTTTGATCTCTGTCTAAGATGCCCCACCGACAACCATCATGTGGTTTCTATAAGAATTTTCAGCAACCGAAATTAGTTGGTCGTTGAAACACATGGCAGGGTTTGGATTATTTGGCGGCCAATGGAATTTGGTCGCTATAGAGGAGGCACTACTAGCAACCATAGTATGATTTTTCCCAAATGACACCAATCTATTACCTTGAGATAATGTTGGACCAAAAGGTCAACAAATCTCAACTCCTCTACCGTCCACGTGTACGTTATTTGCACATTTGAACAAGCATTTTAACATGACAATCAATAGCCATGTCACTAAACGTTAACATTTTTTTTTCCAAGAATCACTAAACTTTACATATGACTTTTTCTTATCGTTAGCATTTGAAGTATTAACATTTTTGATAACGTGACAATCTAAAACTATTTCATGAGAATTATCCCAATGATCATTGAACTTTTACAGTTGCATCTCAATAGTCACTACAACCAAACACATTATGTCTCCAACATTTACCTAATGTCATCAATATACATAGAAATAAATAATTCGACTCAACATCCAGTTTAGGCCATGTTAGGTTTACGTTTACCGATTCAACAATTCCTTGAGTAATGTACTCATGAAATTGATTTTAGCCCCATTTGGTTTAGCTAGAAAAATAAATAATGTTTAAGTTAGATCTGACAATTAATTTTAATTTTTAACCACATATTTTAGAAGATTCACAACTTTTAATTACATATTTCATTAATTTTTATCAAGATTTATTAAAAAAATTATTTTTTCTTCTTCTCCTCCCCCCCCCCCCCCCCCCCCCCCCCCCGGCCTCTCTCTAAACCCAACAGAAGCATAGTAAGTAATTTTTGATTAAATTTAGCAGTTGACTCAACAAAAAAAAATTGTTGACTAATTTTTGATATTCTAAAGTTCAAGGACCAAGATTTTTAAGGACCAATGTGTCAATGACAATTGAATGTTTTGGATTTGTATTTTTCTAAATTATTGAAATGAACAGGTCAATGGTCGGGTATTAAACTCACAGATTTTCACATAAGAGGGCCCAAGTGGATAGAACTCTACAACTTTGTGGTCCTAAAACATGGTGAAATTTCATCTATGGTCACTAAAGTTTCAGAAAGATTTCAATTAATTCATTAAACTTTATTTTATCTCAATAATATTATTGAACTTCAATTTAATTTCAAATTTCATGACTTTATCTCTTCCTGTCACCTATTGGCCTCTATAATGACGGAAATTATTTACTTGACAATCATACTTGATCTTCTACGTAAACAATGCACGACACCATATAAATGAAAATTATAAAATATGTGTTAATAATGTCTTTATATTAATGTAAAAAAATTATATTTTTTATTTTAATACTTTTATGGCCTAGTATAGTTAATTTAGCTCCCATTTGGCCCCCATTGATTTTGATTATAATGGTAGAATAGTGGTTTTTTTTTTCTTTTCAAAATTGAATAGTTGTAAAAGAATGAAAAGTTTTTGGTTTACGTGTAATATTATTTTATTAAATATTATGTGATTGAAAATAGGAAATAAGAAAATTTAATTTAATTTGATGAGATAAAATGGGAGCCAAACGAGCGCTTAACATGATGCATAACGGCTGCGTCAAATGTTAGACAATTAAAGCAATTTTAAAGATTTGATAAACAATGTATGGAAGAGGGACCAAATTTGAAATTAGAGTGAAAACTCACTACAAATTGAAAATTAGCAATCCGGTCACTGCAGTTGGAATTTATCCTAGAATATATAGTTTCCTTCTTTCGATCCGGGACTGCTGTCCTCTCTACTTTGTCTCGTTCGCTTACGTAAATTCAATGATCACTAATTTTCTGTAAAATACAGGAATGATATTTCCTTTTAGTTTTTGTTTCTAATTTCGATTCTCCAGATTTTACTCTTCGACAGGTACGCTTCACCTGTTCGTGAAATCGCAGCGTCTGATTCTAAAGGGTCTCCATCATGGCTCAGAACCCAGGCAATTTTTTTTTTGAAATCCCAATTTAAGCATCCGTATTATGTGAAGTGTAGAAAATAATGATATTAAGGTAGAAGAATGAAGATAGTGAATGTTGTTTACTTACTGAAAGATGTTGACTTTTAATGCCTCATTTTTTATTTTATTTATATATAGATATATATATATATATATATATTTTGTAATATTTGGGGTTGTAATTGAATTATTGATATTGATACATGATAATCGATTGGTCAACATTACGTTTACATTCTGAGAATTGAATTTTAGAATCCAAATTCATGAAAGTTCGTTCAAAATGGAACGGGCTCATTTCTAATTTGAATGCTTGGGCCTCAATTCCTCATTTTCTTACTATACTTGGAAGTGTAATGTGAACTCATGATACAAATAATTTGATTTTCTGGGTTTGTGCTATGTTAATGGTAAGTTACTAAGGTACACAGTTAATGCTGGTTTAACATGGGAGTAAACTTTGTAAGAGTAAATTTGTTGCCGTAGTCACCGGGAAAGAAATGGCTTTGAGAAGATGGGTTCTTTCTGTCCCTAAGGGTCGTCGTTTCTTTTGTAACACTGATGTGGTGCGTTCTGGACGTGTAATCCAGTGCATTCTTGTCAAAACACCATTCATATATGCTCCAGTGGCTGAGACTCCATTTTTATGAGCATCTTGTTCTATTGAATAGTACTATACATGATAAACAATGTGTGAATGAAGCTTGACTTGCAAGTTGTATCTAATCCATTAGTACTTTTTTTGGTTCACATCATCTTTGTTTGTTTCTACAAAAAATATGGCTCATGCAAATTTCTGCATATTTCATTATTTGATTTGAAAGAGTTAATTATGATAAAAAATACACACAAATAGGAAACTTGCCTACAAATTCTAATTAAGGAAGAAATCCTAATCTTTGACTACCCACTAATCAAGACTTGTCTTTATCTCTTGGGATATTAACAAAATGATGGAGATTTTTCTCATATATCATAAACTAAGAATAATTAAACAATCTGTTAGAAACACTCTCAAGCCGTACTAAAATAGAATTTTATAACAGTCATTTTTCAAGTCTCCTACACCTTTACTCCATCCCTGACTTAAATTTTTTATTTTTATTTTTTTTATTTTCTCTCTCTCTTCGATTACTTGATTTGTTATTATAAGCATAGTTCTTGTTTTATTTTGTGAAGAACCTAAAATTTGTTTGAATCTACGCCACTTTGGGTCTTCAATAAATAGAAGTGTTTATTTGAAATTTGATACCTTCACCATCTATATTACGTAGAAGAGTTCATCTTGTTTATAAGGTCTCACCTTTTATGTAGAAAGTAATTAGTAGAACTTACTAAATTTTTACATCTTTGTGGTTACCAAACTAGGCAATAACTACAATTTCTCTGCAGCTAAGCAGCAGAAAATGGCGATACTGAATAAGCATAATGAAAGACTTGTGGGTGTGTTGCATGAGACTGAATCTACAGAAATTGTAGTTTTGTGCCATGGTTTTCAATCCTCGAAGGTTTGTGTGTTCTTTTGGTTTGGTTATTTTTCCTCAGTTGTCAAATTCACAACTTCATTGACATATATCTTTTTATTGTATTATGAAGTGCCAATAAATTTGTGTTTCCACTGAGAATTGAGTAAGCAAGATTACCCATTGATATTTCTGTATATAATTGTATTTAGGTTGTAATTACATTTACCATATTTAGATTGTACTTATTCCTATATAATGTGAGGAATCCCTATGGGAAATTCATTCAGCCAAAACTTTGACATGAATAATTGTTTATTTAAGTGCTTAGAAGGCAAGTCTGGCTTTACCTAATGACTAGATAACCTGTAGTCAGTTACCACAGAGAAATTCTAGCCATGGATTGTTGTCTATTACTTTAATTTCTAAAGCAATGTTTAGATTTGAAACTCTAAATTTATATCAGAAACCTAGATGGTTGGAGGCAGAGAAAAACTCATTTGAATTGTCCAGCTTATCTAACCATCCTGAATTAATACTAAAATGGGTTTGAAGTTCTAAAAAGAAAAATTTCCAGTAAAATTTAAGATCTGCAGTTGCAGTGTAAACAAAATAACCCTAAATTTATGTTGCATACAAATTTGATGATCAAAACAAGGGTAACCACAATTGTATATAATCAGGAAAAATTTGAATATAGATGAATGGTTGCTGGAAATATAAATCTACTTCAATAATGTGTGATAGAGATGAAGTCATTGAAGTCTCATGCAATCGTACTTTAGCTATTCTGTGATTTTGCCCTTGAAATATGAATAAATCTTGTAGAGTTTGTATTTATTATTAAAAAAAAATTCTACAAAAAGCTTAGAGGGAGTGGCAGTCGGTTGTGATAATAGTGCCTAACGGTGGGATTCATCTCACATGTTTAATATGCAGGAGTTCAACATCATGTTCAACATTGCCAGTGCTTTAGAAAACCACGGAATCAGTGCATTTCGCTTTGATTTTGCTGGAAATGGGTAAACTCTAGAGGCTATTGATTTTTTCTTCTGTCAACTTATTAATACAACACGAACAGTAATACTAATATTGTAGACATACGTACATGCTACTTATTGTTGTTCTTTACATTTTAGGATAGAGTTTATGATTTTGTTGACACATTGAGCTTGTCTTCACTTGTATTTTTTTTATAATCTTCATGCAACTATCAATGAATGAGGTTGAATAAGATTACGGAGATCTTTGAAGATTGCGGCTTTGCATCTATTTTATTATCATAATTGTATTATATATAGATCGATTGTTTTTACCATATTTAAATTATACGTTACCCTTAGTTAATATTATAATTGATTGCTACCATATGTGGTGGTGATTTTGGTTCTATTTAATGAGAGAACCTCTCACATCGAGAGTCATTGAGTCTTATTCAATATGTTCTACATGGTATTAGAGCCAGGTCGATCCTAAACAAATTAACCTTTGAATTTCGTTTCAAGGCTACTCGCCCGGCCAAATTTCTTTCTCAGTTAGCTGTTGCATTTTTCAACTTAATGTTAAACTTGTTTACGGCTAAACAAAATATCTTTGTGTCAATGACCAACACTAAATAAGCCATAGATTTGGAGGAACCGGAACCCGCCTTTGGATCCGGCTTACCACCTGTTTTAGTGTCTTTGACCACATTTTCCTACTCAGCTTCCCCCTCTCTACGTCGGCTTTCCAGCTATTTTATGCATTCGAACGTGTCCGTTAAAGCCGGAAGGCAGCTTGCTTGGGTGTCCCTCCAGGGTTGGCTCGTTGGAGTTGAGGAAGCCAGCTTGGCTAACACCATTGATAAAAAGGGTATATTGGGTCCTCAAGAAATTGTAGCTTGGGAGGTGTTTAGCCCCATTCAAAGGGTTTTGCTTGTGGCTGTTGTTGCTGTTGTAGCTGCGAATTCGAAGAAAAATAAACAGATTTTGAAGCTAAAAAAAATCTGTAGAACTCAGGGACCAAGTGCTCTTAAACATGCAACAGAAGCTGGACATTCTATTTGAGCAAGTGAATCATTTCAAGTATTAACCAAACATCGCTGTTGGTGGATGGATTGGCAGTGAAACGTTGGTTTGGTTTGTGTTGGTATAAATGGGAATTGGGCAGTTTATGTGGGTTTTGTTCATGGGTCTATGATATGGTTTAAGGTTTGGTTAGAGGTTACTGGGCCTGGATTTGTAGGTTGTACAAGTGGGGTGTTGGTTAATGGGCTTGTGGACTAGTATATGTGAATGTGTGTGTGGGCATCTTGGGCTACGGTTTGAAGTGATAATGGGCCTAGGATTAAAGGGCTGAATATGGTTTCAGTTTAATAGGCTATCAGGTCATGGGCTTGGTAATTGGTTAGATTACTTGGGCTTAGGTTTTATTTTATTGGTTTGGTTTTGATTATGTTTGGGCTATAAGAATTTAGTTGGGTTGTTATTTTGTGTGTTGAAAATTTATTTCTTGGGCTGCTTTGCTGGTTTGGGCTTCGTTATTATTTGGTGAATAAGTTGGGGATTAGTTGAAAGTGGGCTTAGCTTTTGGAAATGATGGTATAACTTGTAAATGGGTTATGAGCAATTGGGCTATAAATTGTGGATCATATTGATAGGTCATAGGGATAAGAGAGACATGAGAGCGCAGACTATTGAATTTTGGTTGCTCAAATGATAAGCTAAAGTTTTCTTTTAGATTCTCAGAGGAGGATCGTTATTGAGTTTAGTGTAAGTTATTTGGCGGGATTTCTTCCAATTGCGCAGCATTTTAATCAACTACATATTGCTAGAATTTGGCCGATGTATTGGCGTTAGAGCTTTTATTGGAACAAGATTTATGTGTTAGCTGTGTGTCGGCACACTTTGTGAATTTCTTTTGGAAATTCTTCTTGGTGTATGAGCTCTCTGGAGTTTCTTTGGAATGTTCTTGAAGTAGCTTTGGAGTAGTTCTTGATTGTTTCTGCACTATTAGTTGTTCTTGGTATCTCATCATCACTAATTTTGTAGATGGTTACTTTGATTTGGATTTATTCTTTGTGGACACAAGTATTATCACCGTTGTCAGTTCGTGATTGCAAATTAATGCTTTTACTAACATCAATTTGTGGGGGATGTCAATGAATGAGGTTGAATAAGATTACAAAGATCATCGAAGATTACGGCTTTGCGTCTATTTTATCATTATAATTGTATTGTATATAGAAAAATTGTTTTTACCATATTTAATTTATAGGTTAATATTAATTAATATTGTAATTGACTGCTACCATATTTAATGGTGATTTTGGTTCTATATAATGAGAGAACCTCTCACATCGAGAGGAATTGAGTCTTATTCAGTATATTTGACAGCAACGCATTGCTAGAGTTTATAATGACATTGTTATTTCAGGAAAATAGTTATAAAAAGGGAAATGAAAGTAGTTGTGTGCTAAGTTACTAAACTGAAACATGCTCTCTATTTGTTTCGAAATGAAAAATGTTGGAGAAGACATAATTTTATGAATTATAAATTGTTTTGATTATATTTCAAGAGAAAGAAAATTTTCTTCAATGCTCTAATTCCATACCTAGGATTTTTTCCCCCAAAAAAGATGAGAATGTTGGATAATGGAAAGATATGAGATAGAATAACGTTTCTTTGGATAATATTTTCTAGAGAAGGAAAATTTTATTTTCATATATATAATAACTTATAGATTTAATATTTTTCTGTACTCCAGAATTGCTGGAACAAGCACTGAGAATATGTTATATGGACCAAATATCTCGTTCTTTCCAAGCAAGTGGAGCTTTATTGGGTAGACCTAATTATTAGAGGCTTAATTTGCAACACACGTATCTTAAGCAATTTAATTATTGAGTTTCCTTGTGTAGCATAATTACATAGTATAGAATTTGGGATTAATTACTGTCCATGTATAGCTTTTAATACCTTATAAATGTAAGGCAATACGTAACAAAGATTCATTCCACAAAATTGGCATAGTATCAGAGCCTAAAATTACTTACACTTACGTGCAAAATATGTATTTGGCTCTATTCATAGTAATTCGTGGCCAGCTTCTCCGGTAGTTGTCTTTCAGGCTACAATCATCCTTTGTTCATAGTAACCTCCATTGGAACTTGTGTCTCAGGCAACATTGGCATTCGGTTCTCTGCCCTCTTCGCATTCTCTACGTGTGTATTTGGGGATAGAATTTTCTAGGTCACCATCGCACCTGTGTGGTCTTCAATTTTTAGGAAGCATCGTTGTTCAACTCTTGGTCGGAGTGTCTCAGGCTTCTCGCTTCTCATCGTTGTAGTCTTTCTTTCACCTCTCGTCGTTGCTATCTCTAGTTGATTTGAGTCTCTGCGTGGATTGGGCTTTCTCTCTCTCTCACCATCGTTAACTCCAATTAAGTGGGCCTTGCATGGATTAGGTTGTGGTTTTATTTGTGCTATTAGTTTATTTGACTGTTTATTTTTGGGTTGACATTGCTAGACATTTGGGCTTTTTTTTTTTTTTTTTATAATTTAATTCAATTGTTGGGTCGATATTTGTTAGATTTTAGGTTATTGTGATTAATTGATTTTTGACAGGCCTATATAAGATTTCATCATGTCAATTGAGAAACCGATTCAATTTGCATTTATTTTACTGGTAGGAACTACTCTTCTTGGGTATTTTACTTTCAGTTATTGGTTAAAGGAAAAGGTGACTTGTGGGGACATATTAGTGGCAGTCTTTTATCTCCTGATCAAGAGACGGATAAGGAGAAGTACATTGTGTGGAAAACTAAAGATTCTCGAATCATGGCCTGGACCATCGGATCGGTTGATGCACAAATTGTTCTTAATCTCTGGCCTTATGAGACTACTTGAGAGATGTGGAAGTTCTTGAAGGTCTATACTCAAAGTAACAATGCTCGGCGACTTTAGTTGGAATTTGAATTGACGAACTTTTCTTAAAGCTCGCGGGCTATTGAAGAATATTATTCGGGTTTTTTCTAATCTTTGGGATAAGTACACAGGCATCATCTATGCCTCAGTTTTACCTGGAAGTTTGAGGTTGTACGAGCTGTACATGAAGTCACCAAAAGGGTTCAATTTCTCATGAAATTACGAACTGAATTTGAATCCAACAGGTCCATTCTTATGAATTGCGAGTCTATACCATCATTGGATGGCTTTTTGGGTAATTACTAGGGAAGGAGTAACGTCTTATCACTCGTACCGCCTTGGAACAAGAGTAGAATACTGTAGCTCCGATTTTGATCACATATGTAGCTCAAGGAAAATTCAAACATCGGGATATATCTAGTGTGCAGTGCAATGGTTAGGGGTTTGGTCACATAGCTCTTCAGTGTCCTAGAAAAATTTGTAGTTATTGCAAAAAGTCTGGCCATGTTATTAAGTAGCATCCCAGACGTCCTCCATGCAAGGTTAGAACAAATTATGTTGCTGCTGCCACTTTGGTCTCTAGTTCTGCTCCATCACCTATTCTTGTTCAAGTTTTGACCTCTCTCAGTCCTCTCAAACTAACATCACTCCTGAGATGATTCAACAAATGGTTTTCTCTGCTTTGTCTAACTTAGGTGTCTCAAGTGAGCCATCAGCTGCTCGTGCTTTTTGGTTATTAGACTCAGGTGCTTCTAATCATATGACTTATGATCCTCTATTACTTAGTAACCGAAGACCATACACTGGACCAAACAATATACACACTACCGATGGTAACACTTCCTATCTCTGTCGTTGGCAATATATCACCAAATTTGCCTAATGTTTTAGTTTTCCTTGATTTATCAGCTGATCTTATATTAGTTGGTCAACTTGTTGATAACAATTGCATTGAAGCCTTTTTTGTCTTTTCCTATTGTTTGTAGTTCTGCCACTTTAGAGATCATTGATTGACATGAGAAATTGGGACATCCCATTCGTAATGTGTTACAACACTTTTTAATTTTGGTTTATTTGGTAATAAGAGTGCTGCTTCGGTTTTGTCTATATCTCTTGAT